CTCTGGTTCAGCTGTGATGCGGAGTATGACTGGAACTAGTTCGCATTTCCACTCTCGATTCGCTGTCAGGGCAAGAAAAATGGCGCCATCTAGCTGGAGGCAGCTTCGGATTTATTGCTTTATATCTTTACATCGCTTCAATCTATAATCAAATTTAATATTTGGTATATTTCTATGCGATACACAGAAAGTATCTAGGTGCTATTTTATAGTTAGTCTTATAAGGTAAATAATGTGTTTTTTCGCCTTTTATGTTTATGTAGTGTCAAAATGGCCTATCGAGCATTAGAAGTTGAAGGTCGCGTTTTACCAAGTGATAATAAACGGCATCATGTATATTTTTTGTTTGTGTATGCAACTTTTTAGAGTGAACTTTTATGAACCTTTTTTTAACTTTTGAGTTGACGACTTCATAGCTTCATAGCATAAATAGCTCATATCCGATGGTGTCTACCATGATGTCATACAGTAGTTTGACCTCACGGCGCATTTTCTGTTTCTAAGAAACATTCGACTGAAAGCGATTTCCCATCAATGACCAAAGTAGTATTCATGAGGAGCTCATTTTGGTCTAAAAATAAGGGGGGACCAGGGCCCCTCTCCTGGATCCGCCACTGAAGAAAGAAAGGTCGGTTTTTCGTCGGGTCTCCACATTTTTGCAAGCAACAACTATATTTATATTTTTTCAAAAAACAACTATATTTTCGACTTGCTGTTTTAGTATTTAAGTGCATGACCGGATGTGGTCAGCGTACTTAACATCTAAGCTCGTTAAAAGATTGGCCGTGGCGACAAGTACGACCAGGAACTCTGAAGTGTTAATTAAAACATACCACTATTCCGTGTCGCTAATGGCCAAGAGTCCTTTGGATATAGAGCGACGTTCGAGGATTTATACAAAAAATTGCACTGACCATTTTTTAAGGACTTTTAATAATAATAATAATAATAATAATAGCATGTTTAAACAGGATGACCATTTCAGTTTTAAAAACTGCTATCAATATGGGTCCTGTATAAAAATAAATGAACAAAAAGATAAAAACATTAATTATATACGAAACTGGGATACATTACATAATTATAATCAATGAAAAGAGGTAGCCTCCTTATGAACAAAACTACATACAATCATTAAAAAGGGTAGCCCCCTTATAAAAAGAGGCCCTCTTAGTCAACTCGAGATTGACTTTATCAACAGATAACCTATCCTTAGACCTAGTGTCATAGTCATAAATATCATAAGTTCGCCGTCGAAAATAATCTGAGAAATAACTTGGAGCTTGTCCATCAAGACAATTCTTGACAAGTTTGACGATATGTTTCTCTCTTCTCGTCTTAACAGAGTCCCAACCAAGACTGGAAGCCATATCTTGAGTGGACAAATGCACCGACTTTAGCACTATCCTAGCAGCACGTCTCTGCAGGCGTTCCAATTCTTCTTCATTTCCTTTACCACAGCCATGAAAAACAGCACAACAGTATTCCAGATTTGGTAGTATCATCGATTTATACCGTCGGTTCGATGCTTCAGTTGTTAATGATGATCTAATTCTTGAGAACATCCCCAGTGTTTTAAAACTTTCTTCTTCACATAGTCAATATGCAAATTAAAGGAAATACTGTTGTCTAATACTACGCCGAGGTACTTAAAGGCATCACACTGTTTCACAGATTTTCCTCCCAACGTTATATGAGCCCCATCGATGTCTTGGTGCCAAAAACCATGAACTCAGTCTTCTTTAAATTGAGAATCAGTTTATTTGTAGACAGCCACTAAGACAGATTAACTGTAACTCAATTTCCGATATTAGTGGAGCCGAGAAAAAGATAACTGTGTCATCAGCATACATCATAACTTTACAGACATCAACACAGGAAGGTAGATCATTAATATAGATCGTAAATAAAACCGGACCAAGGATACTCCCTTGAGGCACTCCACTTAGGACAGCTAAGGGACTCGACAACTCGTTAACCAGGGAAACAGCTTGAAATCTGTCGGATAGATGGCTGTAAACCAATTAATCGAATTTTCTCCAAAGCCAAATCTTCTCAATTTGGATAAGAGTTCCTTGTGCGACACAGAATCAAAGACCTTCCTTAGATCAATAAACAAAGCGCCTGTTAACTTTCCCGACTCTACACTTCTTCTTACCTCATCGGTGAAATAAAGCACAGCACTCTCCGTTGAATGGTGTTGTCTAAACCCTGCCTGAAATGGACTCAAAAGGTCGAACCTCTGTAAGTACCGTTGTAGTTAAACGTTGACAGCTTTCTCCATAATTTTCGACATAACCGGCAATATGGAGATTGGTCTGTAGTTGTCCATACTTGCATGTCCACCAGACTTATATAAAGGAACGACACGGGCCATCTTCAATTACATGGAACAATTCCAGTACTGAGCGATAAGTTTACAAGAAATGTCACAGTAGGAGCGATAACCGAAGTGCCGTCTTTCAAAAACCGAGCCGAAATCCCATCCACACCAGTGGCCTTTTTCACTTTTAAGTCCTTCAGATGCTTAAAAATAAAGTTTTGGGAAACTGGTTGAAGCACAAAACTTTCATTAGTAAACATTTCATCTGAGAGACCAAGAATGGTAGTTGATTGAACGGATTCCAGGAGCTTGGACACAGTGTTCGTGAAAAAGATGTTAAATTTCTCTACAATAGTTGATTTACTAGTGATGGTTTCACCCTCGTCCGTTATTATAGATTGAACGGTCGAAGATTTTTTCTCTTTTTTGGGAAAATGCTCTTCATAGCTCTCAAAATGATTTCGGGTTGGCCAAATTATCCTGAATTTCGTTTCCCTGATAACGACGCTTCTCAATTTTGATCCTGTTGGAAACTTGATTTCGTAATCGTCGATATGTACTCCAGTCAACCTCAGATCCAGCCTCGTACCCAGGCCTGTTCGCGCTATCCGAGTGACCAGAGGAGGCTTGGAACCGAGCGCGATAGCGCGAGGCGTCCTGGGCGAATTTTCCCGAAAAGCTTAACAGGTGACGTCACATCCGAAATCGCCGAGGACGACTGGGAACGAGGCTGCCTCAGATCCAGTTTTAAGTCTACAGCTAAGTTTTAAGTCTTTAAGACTTTTCACGAACCACATACGATTTTCAAGGGTCATCTACCTTTCACAGGTTGTACAAAAATTAACATTTCCAGTCCATTTCAAGAGGACTTTAACGTTTGAACTGTTTGCTCCACCAACTTTTCTACATCTTCCAGTTCGCCTGTGTTTAAGTTATAGTTACTCATTGCATAAAACAAAAAACGCTTAATATAAATCACATTTAATTTCTCAGAGCTATGATTTATGTTCTGTCTTGGACAACCAAAAAGCATTAAAATACACTTTCCAAGCGGCTAAATTCAAACCTGAGGAAAGTTCAAGAACTTTTCAAGGACTTGCACATAAATTCACAAGGACTTTTCAAGGAAAAATGGAATTCAAGGACTTTTCAAGACCCCAGTGTGCGAACCCGGCGTCATTATGGAATGAGTTGCAGCCAGCACTCAAGCTAAGCGAATCAGTGACTGGTTTTAAGCGTAGACTTAGGCGACTACCACTGGATGTCTCCTTTAGTATGAAGTTATTTTTATGTTTTTAGTTGTCTGTCTGTGTGTTTGTGTGTTTTTTAATTATTAAAAACATTGACTGTGAAAAGCCCTGTGGAGACGAGCCAATAAAGTGCGTGTATGTATTACGTCACCTATCACATGCTTGTAAAATTACTGGGATTCACGTGATTATAGTCTTTTCTGATCACTTATGCACAAACTTATGTAAGAGCCACAAATAACTAAAACAGATGATACAGCGCTTTATTTTGTACCGCTGAGTATCGGTAAGCAAAACCTCGTCCAACCAGGGAGATCCATTGGAGTAAATTGAGTGCTTGAGACGATTCCATCAATCTATCTAATTGATCGATTTCATTGCTTACGTCACCTATTACATGCATGTAGAATTACTGGGGATCCACGTGATTATAGTCATTCTGATCGCTTAGGTATATAAGAACTAAAAATAACTAAAACAGATAAATAACAATAGATATTGAGTTATTCGACAAAAATACCTTCTATTGTATTTATATGGCTTCTCTGGTTTATTTTGGCTTATAACATAGCTACAATAGAATATTCCTCTAATCAAATTCAATAACGCGAGCGTGCTTCATATTCCCATTAGGCACGCTAATGACGTCAATAAACTATACCTCGAGTTCTTGTGAGCCTAGCAATGGTCCCAACTCAACAGTACACGAACTCAACAGTACACGATGAAGCGTTAACCATGTGTTTTATAACGTAAATGTAAGAGCAATCTTTTGAATTTGTTGACCGATAGTAGGGGAAAGAGGTGAGTGTTGGTGTAGTTGTCATTTGCGCGAGCTGTGCAGGCTATGGCGTGTGCAAATCACTCTTTGCAAAGTCATTTCTTTCCAAAAGACTTTTCGATGAGTTGATAGTTTTCCGGCACCTCAAAATAATATGGATTTACAATCTTTTTGAATGCTATCTTAACCGACTTCAGTAAACTTTCCGTCAGGTTCAAGACAAAACATAACTGCGAGGTAAAAAAAATAGGGACACACAGACATAGACGCGTACTAACAATTTGACTGCTGAATTGATCGCTTTGATAACGTTATAAAACAATTAGTTCATGCTTCAGCTGTGCGTATGTCGAGACATTGAACCCTTGCAAAGTTTGGAGAGCACTCAAGAGGCTAGAGTTCCTCGAGGCGCACCACTTTCGTGTTCTCCAAACTTCCCGAGTGCTTAATATCTCGACATACGCACGCTGACGCATGAACTAATTGTTAATTATAAATAAGCTAATAACCAGGCCAAAACTTTCGGTCAGCAACAGGCTGATATATGATAAGATGATTTACGCAAAAAAAGATTGAGTACGGCGTTGTAGCCACAGAAAATGCAAATCTCTGTGGTTTTCACGACGTTGGTAAATGTGCCACTCCCAATCTGTCAGCAAGGTCATTCTGAAAAGCAGAATAATCACCCAGTCATTACTTTTCCACTTAAAATGATAGACATTATTTGAAATCTGAAGTTATTTCAACGAATTCGGTTTATGAAGCACGTTAGAGTGACAGATAGCATGACCTAAGAGGGATAAGGGACTGGGACTGCATCTAAAACAATGCAGCAATTTGTCTGCTTAGAAATATTTCATTTTGCAAACAATGTTGCAGAACCTGGTACTGTAATTTATGCCACTCGTAACCGTACTAATGTAAGTGTATTATAAAGTTCTAAGGAGAACAAGATCAGGGGCACCCAACGACAGTTTTCTGTACAAGTATTAATTCGGAGAAGCAAATTTTGCCTAGAATTTTCTATTTCTTGAGAACGGCTAAAAATTTCTGGAGGACCGTTCCCCTCATGTTCAATTTTCGAAGCTTATCTAATAAACTCCCAACGATTATCTGAGGTTTAATTTTTCACATTTCACTGCTCAGGTTAGGCTATTTTTCGTACGAGGAAAAAACCTAACATTTTCGAATTTAAAAATGTGGTGGAGAGAGGAATCAGAAAAATTCTCAATTTTGCAATACGTTAAATTGCATGTAAAATTTTCGGGAAAATAATACTGAAGACCTTGTAATTTAGAAAAGACTCAAGTTCCCCTAGGATGACCAAACAGATACACTTTTTATAGCGCCACTCAGAATACATTTCTAGAGATTTAAAAGTACTCTGGATAGCCAAAAAAGTGTTTTCTATGTATTTAGGAGGAGACCGTCGTTGGGTGCCGCCGCAAGATGTCTCTGTCATTTGGTTCCCCTACTGCTGTACTGCGTCACCTATACATGTATTCCCGCACTTTCTCCGTGTAACGTAGTCTCGTACGCAACCTCCTTTAGTGACATCACGCAACGCTTACCTTGTCCCCTGGAGCCAAAGATTCAAGACTGGAGAAAAACAATGGGACGTATCCTACCAATGATTTTTGGTTATCAGAAGACTGCACTGCTTAGCACGTACAAGCCAATTAATTGGGCCAGTATGAAATGTCACTGAGCCAGGATCCCAAGCGGTCATATTGAAATGAGGATGAGAGAGCAATATACGTCATCCAAACAAAAACAATTGACAGTCGACCAAATGTGCGTCCGCTAACCTGTGAGACTGTATCACTAGCTAAAGTACACTATCTGGAGAGTAAAAATATTTTTTAAAAAATTATCCGCTGATCAGATTATTACTTTTTCATCATATCTCTCCCTCACGTTTAGTTATTTTATTTCTGTCAGGGTATTTAATTGGGTTGAAATAGCTCAAAGTTCATTGTTTCAACTAAATTTCATTATTTAGTATTGAAGGAGCTCCGCTTTTAGGCTTTAAGCCACGTCCATATAATAGGTCACAATTTTTGTTTGAGCAACACCTAACGCCATTCCATAAGACTGGATACCAAGCAATTTTATGAAAATATCCTTTTCTTTGAAAAAATTCTCAACCAATTTTGGTTTATATACCGTAAAATTCCGAAAATAAGCCCCGGGGCTTATATTTTTCAAATACCCTTTTTGAGGGGCTTATCTATGGAGAGAAATTTGCGTTTCAAAAGCGATAGAGCTAGCCTTATAGTTGGAAGTAAATTTACCGTTTTGCTTTGTTTTACTTTGTATCTGAGGGCAATTGGAGGGCGATTTAATGGAGGGTTTTTTGCGTTACCGGTTTGGGGGGGGGGGGGGATTTTCGGAATTTTACGGTAACCTGGTATATCTCCTTCTCAATTTCTATATAAACACTCACCAAAGCGTGTAATATGTTCACGTGATAACAAATCCCACCATCTTGCTTCACTTTGCGCATGTGCTCTCTTTCCGGGTCGCCTGCTACAAGAACTGCTGGCTCGCCCTCCTCCTAAAATATTCCCATCAGCTGGATTACTGAGCTAATAAAGAGTACCTTGACATGCTGGATTTTACCTTTGAGTTAAACTTGGCCCAAAAATAGAATACTCTGCTTCATCTGTCTTCGTGCTCTGTCTTAGCCGTTTTGCACAGCACCATTTAAACTTATTATTGTCTTATACTTTAGAAAATGTGGTGAATGCTACGCCCGCTGCGATTGGCTCTTGCCCATGATTTTTCACAGTACCGGAGCAGAAACATAGACTGCGACTTCACGTGAAACTTGTTTTCTTTGCCTTGTTCAACTTGACGCGCAGTTTTGAAAATGTTTGTGAGATAATTAAGTAAGTGAAGCCCTCAAAGGTTAACAGGGTTGTTTACAAGTAAGAAAAATGTCCAAAGAGCGCTCTGAGCGACTTGGAAATGCCTAAGCTGGAAGAAATCTTTAAGCAGTTGCCATCATGTGTCAAAACACGCTACCAGACACAAGCAGCTTTGAAAATCTTTGCGCGATTATTCTGCTTTGAACAAGTGATGGCCTTGAAAAACGTTTTGAGTGTCACTTTTTTTTCTTACTACACTTTGATACTTTTCGTTAAATGTATTTACTGTCTTTGTTACAAACTGCAGGAGAACATACGGGATCCATATTTCTGTATTGATCCATCAGACACTGCATCCTCTCCTCAAAACCATCAGCAAACGTTTGCGGATTCACAGCCACAAAGCAATGACCCTAGTGAAATAAAAACGCAAAGCCGGATACAATTTGAAAAGAAATGAGCTTGATATTAGTCAAAAGAAAACAGCCGAAATTTCATGGCGCCCACCAGCACTGGTTTCCCGCAAAGTGACGTCTGATAAACGAGCTCAAAAATTCCATACTGACGATCGCTACCCTAGACTTGTTTAAAAAGTGCTTCTAATTGGTTCAAGGTCAAATAAACCAAAAATTCGACATTTTTATTTTAGTTCAATTCTAGTGAAATGTGTTTAATATGAACCAAATAAACATACCATGAGGTTTCAGCTCAATTGAAGCCAGTATCTCGAGATATTTTGCAATTAAAAATTGCTATTTTTGGCCCTTATCTTCGTAGAGCGGTCGGAAAAATTGTCGGAAAAAACAGCTTGTGACGTCAATGTTGGTCAGGTGAAAAAAGCGGGAAATTCAAACAGAGTTTTTCGCGTCGACTTGGCGCAGAAGTGATTTGTGCGGCCATAAACCTGGAAAAGAACAGGCAATTTGTCTTCAAAAGTCGCAAGCTGTGGTTATAACCTTCTTATTATTTAATTTTCTCGAAGAATACATTATAGTAAAACTGACTTTAACGACATTTACTAATTTCCTTGAGTTGTACTGGAAATGTGCGTGCGTAAGTCCGATTTTTTTCAAGATGCATTCACAAAATGTGTTCATATGAGGAAGTTCCCGGATATATAAGGTCCGGAGCTCCACAGTGGACACAAAAACAAAATATCTTTGTATAATAATCTGCCCAAAGAAATTCAAGTTTGCCCACAATGTGTTTGAGGTCACTGAAATTTGTCGCACTCGAGCTGATATTTTAAAACCCACGCTCGATCGGACACTTCTAGCTTCGCAGATCACTAAAATGTAAACAAAATCCTCAATGTAGAAGCTTTGGCGTTGATATGTGGGCAGAAAAAGCGTTAATCTTTATCTAGTAAACCTTCCCCAAGATCGGTTTCAAAGCAACCATAGATTTCTAAACTTGATCGTTTCGCGCAGAAAAATTTTGCTTTGTCTTGTCAAGTTAAACATGCATAACACCTGTCAAAAACCTACGCGTAAGTTACATTATTGCAAAAACGTCTTTACAGTTGAGTATATGATTTAATTACCGACTGAGGTCACTTTAAGGACCATAGACGCCACTTCAACCTCAATGAGATGCGACAAGCAACGAACAATGCCATCATGCATACAATTCAGCTTAAGTGGACTAAAAAAAAAGCTTCAATAAGGTTGCAAAACAACAAATTTTCATTAAAAAAAAAAACAAAAGACTTAAGTCTCTAATACCTGCTGACAATAAGAAGTGAATTTTCTGTACGAAAACAACCTACTCAAAGATCTTAAAAGCAAAATAAAGATCAGTTGCAAGCTTCGCAGCAAACCATGATTCACCATTCAGCTATTTTTAATAACTGGTCCATGAGAGGGTCTTCATTCAAGCAAATTAAACTCAGCAAACTGAATCATTAGAAAATACTGAAAACTGCACATAAAGGTTTGTTTTCCTCGCTTCAGTCAAATCCAGCTCCAGCAATTGTTTAGAGGCAAAGAGTCGATTGTTTTGAAGTCACTGCCGGCAGAAGTCGTTCTCAGCTACTTCACAGAGAGTGAAAGGAAAATTTGCCTACAGAAAGAAAACAAAACAATGAAATTAAAAAGGAAAAAACAAAGGAAAAAAAAACTCTGACTATTGTTACTCGAGCAACAGAAAAATGATCGAAGTAGTCTTTTCTTCTTGAGTAAACTTTGGCCTTCTAAAGTTCCGAGAAAGTTTTTAAAACTTAAGAGCTTAAAGCGCACAAGCTTGTTCACTTGCATGCGTTAGCCGTTACGGTTCTTTGACTGAAGACAAGGATAAAGCTGGTTCTGCAAAGGTAAATAAATCTGGGCATGTAAAAAAGTAACCATAACTACTAATAACAGAATATACAAGCAGGTTTTTAATTCAACCCGGCGAAAGAAGGCGAAGCACTAGACACAAAACCAACTCAAATCGAATGCACAATTATCAGAAAAATACAAACCTTTTGGAAATGTTCAAAACGTTTTTTTATTCCACCTCAGACTGACAGTGATCGGTTTTACTCTAACATTGGTTGTTCTGAATCCAAAGTAATTTTAAAGTGACGAAAAAGCAACAAAAACAAAAAAAAAAGCCTTTACAACGAGCAAACGTTCGCACCTAGTGTATTTTATTCAGTCTCAGTCAGAATTCTCACATAACGAGACAAACAAACGCAGGCAATAAGGGATGCGCAGAAGCTTGCGCAGAACGTTTTTCCGCCCTGAAAGACCAACATTGACGTCACGGACGTCACGTAGTCTCCAGTCTATCACGCTGCCATTTCAGAAACGTTTTCGGAAATGCTCGGATTTTGATCTTTTATCTTTCTATAAAGGCTGGGGAAGAAAAATCTTTACCCAAATCTCACTTAGGATGGTTCTTTTTAGTGTTTGGTGAAGGTAAAGCGACAAAAGAAAATATGTCAATTTTTTGGTTCATTTGACCTTTAAGTAAAATTTCTCTCGTCGCATAAGCAATCAGAAGCACGTCGCAGATCCGGGTAGTGTGGAATTTCTGCGCTCGTTTCTCAAAGGTCATTTTTTCAGTCTAGCTGCAGGATATAAATCACGCTAATATACACGTATAAAGAAGGCAGCCCTTGTATGGTGCAAGGTACCAGACATTTGGACACTCCACGAACTGAATTTACCATTTGTTTTCTTAATGTTTTAGGGGGACATTGTAATAAAATCCCACCGGACGCCCCGTTACCAAACGCTAACCGTTAAGATAAGTCAAGAGGTAAGTCCAGAGACCGAAAGCGCAGAAACTCAGGTACAGAAGTAAGCCATCGCTGCAGGGAGAAGGATGAGGCGACGACCTGTGCCTGGTATCCAAAACAGGATAAGATAAACCCATTTATACTAAACTCGTCAATATACTCATAAATATTATGCACAACCAGTTCTCCTGTGGATCAACAGGTGCGCTGGGATTTAATACATAGATACCATAGGAATTGAGATAATTTCTTCTAGTACCAGGTCGGCTTGTCCCATTTCCTCTCCCTGCCACTTCCTGAGATGAGGTCCAAATGCTGAATCAGACAAAATTCCACAAAACACCTCCACCATCATCGCTAAACCAAAACCTTTATAGCCGGTCATTAAATAAGTAAATATAAAAAAGACGAATTAATGACAAAATTAATAAAATGCAGAACTAAAGTTCAGGGGAAGAAAGCGGGTTACCAAACAAGAATCAAACCAACTTATTCATTTGCAAGAGTAGATAAAGGAACGTTTTCATGTTTCTTTTGTGTTATTATCTCCTCCCCCCCCTCCCCCTTCCTCCCCATTGGACTGTTCATAACATATTTAAACACTTAATGATCCTTTTTCTAACTTCCTGCCAAAGTTTCCTAAACCTAATCATCCTGTTTCGTTATTTTTATTTGACGATCAAGGTAAACAAAGGCTGCTTCGTCCCATATGTCTAGGGTCAGGGTTGCTTCACATAAAACACGTTTCTGTACTATTGTCACGTTTACTATTTTCCTTCTGCTATATTCTTTCAGCTGAATACTAACTTATATTCAACTGAATATCAAACTTATATTTATTCTTCTTATGTATAAAATTTTATGTATAAATCACGGAAGATATTAAATTAATATATATATTTTTTCTGACATGGAAACCCCTTTACCACCGAGAGGTAGAAGACCACCTCCTTCATCTAACACCTCTCGCGGGTTAGTAGTTTCCTAGGATAGAATAACAATTGTTCAGCCAGATAGAGCTAACAAGCCAGTCCAATTTCATGCTTTATACATGTACATCTGGCTTGCCGCTATCTGCACAATATTCCCGCCTTTTCTTGAAATATATCTGTCTACCTATGAATCACACGTCGCCTTCCTGAAACTCGCATTCGGGTATAAAAAAAGAAGCGTCCGTCAGAAAAAAATAGTATTTCAAAAAAATAGCAGAGTTTAATGAATTACGCAAAATCGTGCTTTTTTAAATTTATTTGCTTTTTCAGATAATTCGCTTTTTATTATATATACAATTTTGTACCCTCGACTTTTCAAAGGTACACGTGCGTACCGTGCGCAGGCAGGTAGTATACGCCCTACGCCCCTGTTTTTTTAAGCGATTGGTTTATTACATTATCTGGAAAACTATTGAAACCATTTTTGCTATCTCCTCGATCTTATAGTGAATGTAAACCAAAGATCTTTGGGTCGGTCAGTAATTACTGTCAGATCCAGTAATTAATCAGCCTGAACAGGCCCCAGGGCCCGTTTCTTGAAAAACCTGATAACGTTTCGACTTCAAAAAAATTTTAAAATCATACACCTGTTGAATAGTAGCACAGTTCCTTGCTCACAAACCAGCCAATTTTACTTCGTTAACTGATAGTTTCGTTACGTCATTTTCAAAATTATTGAAACTTTGATCTTGAATGCAAACAGAACAAACATAAAAAAATTTTAGGGCCGAAGTTTATCGGGACTTTCGAGAAAGGGCCCCTGGTCTGCCGGGCAGGGGAGATCATGGGTAGGGTTCACTTTTCTCAGGTAAATCGGACAGTACTCAAAAGTCTCAAAACAAATTAATTAGAAAGAACTCCCTTTGCTATGTAAATAGTTGGATGTTAACGTGCCTCGGATGAACACGTAGAAATGACGTCCCATCTCCAGTACTGAACGTGAAAAATACAGTCCTCCTTTAGGCTTTTATGTGTGCTTAGTACATTTACTGCGCTGTCTGTCCGGAATAGGACTGTTGTTGACAGTGACTGACGTTTCGACAACCTTTGCGGTAGTCATCTTCAGAGTCTAAGTGGGTTGTATCACGTCAGTTGATGGTATTATACTCTGGTTATTGATCTGACTGGTCAATTACGTCGCGATGTCATTGGTCGTGTGTCAGTTAAGCTGTGATGTTATTGGCATTTTTGTTGTTACAATGCAATAACGTCTCCGTGTAGAGTACAAATATCCCCGGGTACTCCCTATAATGGATTATAAAGGAGGCGCCGCAAGAAATGGGTACTTTCTCGGGGTTCAAGCATATGGAAGGTAGGGATATCACTAGTTGATTGGAAGTATATGAAAGGGGAGGGAAATCTGTCATCACGGTGTTTCGCTCTAAACTGGGTATGTGAAAGGGGTACCATTTGTCAATAAAGGGAATAGGAAAGGACGAGAGCCATAATGGCTCTTGGAAAGAAGAATCTTTTCCGTCGAAAATGGAATATATAAAAGGTAAAGGGTTGGACCTCGGGGTTGGGCTAGGCCTTGGCGGATTGTGCTCTAAAAGTGGCATATTACGCTACTAGCAGTGCTCGAAATTTGCCAAATATGCCAAAATTATGCCAGAATTCTCAAATTATGCTCCTGATTTCGAAATTATGCTCATAAAATGACGTAGATTCTGTACATATAGGGGTGCAATAACGACACCAAATTATGATGTTTTTTAAATAAACAAATTGTAGTAAATTTATTTGTGTTTATAGCAGTTTGTCTCGGCCCTCAGCCGTCAAAAAAAAAAAAAAACTTTATTGCAATAAGCAGCATTTGGCTGGTGAAAGCCGTGTGGCCTACCACCCCCCTTTTATTGCAAGAACATACTACTAAATTTAATTTATTTCTGAAAAATACACCATATTTACTAAATTTTATGAATTTATGCTCAAAAAGTGCTAAAATTTGCTAATTATGTAAATCGCAGGCTCGTTTAAAAAATTATGCTTTTTTTTGCTCAATTATGCCAAACATTATGCTACCACAATCCGTCAATGCCTGGGTTGAGCCTCCACGTATAAAATTTTGTTGAATACCCCCACCCAGGGGGGGGTAAATAACAGTTGATTTCATATACAACTTGCGTACAAAAATAAACGCCTTTACACGGAAACTCTTACCTGTCCTTTGGGTTCACACCCATCCTAGGGGAATATCAGTTCCTTCCCTTACATACTTCTACCTGTAAAGATAGTGTAGTTAGCGGAAAGCCGTGTAGAAGGCCTGATGAAATAACATCGACTCATTGAGGATAATTGCAGTAGTATACAGCAATTCCAGAGACCAGGACGAAGTACCCCTATATTGCCCTCTTGTTTGGAACAATCTTTGAAAGTCCCAGGTCCCTGGTGTTATACCCTGTATTCTAGCATTAAATTGGATTACTCATGTTGCCAAGTAAGATATGGCGAATAACTAAAACTTACACAGCGTTACCAGTAACGCCTAATAGATGACAAGTAATTGTTTCTTGCGTGCAGATTTGAGGAAATTAATTACAAGGTTATAAAATTTAGAATATTAATTAGCGGACCTCCTCGTCACCTGGCCGGGACTAATTCCAACAGGTTGCCCCCAGAAGGTTTCATGTCCATAAAACGTGCCTTCTATGACACATTTATTTTCCCGTGACCGCCAGTTCACCTCTGTATGAGCAGCTACTATATTTTAGTGTTTAGTGTTTTAGTTTTAATATAGTGTCCCCAATTAGTACTTTCGTGCTAGATACATTGACACTCAAATAAAGTGCTTTTTTTTTTTTTTACCTCAGTGCACTGGAAGCTAAGGAGTCACATAACAAACCTTTCCTTGCTGACGTAGCCATGTCAACTGAAAACTGTCCCCTCCTCTCCCTGAAGCGGATACAGGATAGGATTCGTTCCAATGGTTGGCTGTAAAGTGTCAAATAACAAACGCTGGTAAATCAACCAAACTAGGGCAACCCTACTTTGTACCCGGACGCATCTTTGATCATGTTCAATGGACTGGAAAATCGTCACTGCGGAGAGGGTATTAAGATCGGTGGTTCAGGGAAGAAGGAGGAGCTCCCAAGATGACGGCGAGAAACTTCAAGGAAATAAAAGCACTGAATGATTATTACGTATTGTGTAAATTTGTGGTCAGTGGTTCCTGGTTTTACAACTGTAGGCGCAAATTAAAAATGTTGCCAAAGCTTGCACATCTTTAAAAGAGTGTTCGCCCTGGCCCTTGTAGCTTCTTATTTTTAGTGTACAATAAAAATGTAAGAAAAAACATCAAAAATTCAATTTTGAAGGCGAAAGAAATTTGGGGATGAGCAAGATATTCGCGGACGATGTAAGTTTTTGGGCAGTAGTTAAGTTTCTCAGGAAAATTGAGGTATTTGCTTTTTGGTTGATATCTATGGACTCGTTCCCAATTTTTAACTTGATTTCGTAGGGGCAAATTTATTTTCTTCTTATTTTGACAGAACTACCTCAGTCAGTGGGGCGCCGATATCTGTGGAGAGGGAGGTCGTGCGTCCTATTCTAGGGAGAAATATTCGGCCTCGGTGATAACACCCTCGATCTGCTTAATTCTTATTTTATTTTATTTTATTATTTTACCCCACACACAATTTGAACAAGCAGAATAAAACGATAATAAGTGGGTTAATTAACATTAAATTAAAATTTGTACATTACTTCGGAGGAGTGGACTGGTGGGAAATCTCTTGAGAAGCCGAGCTTATGGAGGAATAGAGATTTGCCCCACGGGCAATTTAAATACTAGGGCGGCATTTTAAGAAATAAAGAAAAAAGTCGTATATTAAAGTATATGTGTGTTTAGAGGACAATATAGATATAAAGGTGTTAAGGTATTTAGGTTACATTCTGTCTGACCCTTAAAAATGGTTTGATCACACGCTTGAATATACTAAAAGACAGGGCATTTTTTGATGTCGTTCGGTAATGAATTCCATATTCAAGGACCTTGAAACAGGATCGAAATTTTTTTAATATTTGTTCTACAGGTATGAGGTCGGTAAAAGTCAAATTACCTTGTTTAATATTGATGAATCTGGTTTCAGTTTGAAAGATTTATCAAAAAGAAATAGGTAAAACATCATTATGATATAGGCACATGAAAGAACTTACTTGGAGAGGTAGATACTAAAACATCAAGAATTTTTAAATTTGCAAAAAGAGGTTTACTTGAAGCCTTGTAATCAGCTTTAGAGATCCGCCCGGACTGCTCTTTTTCTAGTAGGTAAATTCGTTGTGGGTTGGTGAACATAGTAGAGGCCCAAATTAAATTGCAGTAAGTAAGATAGGGATAAATAAGTGCATAGCATAGTGTTAGAAGAGATTTTGAGGGCAAGTAGTATTTAGCTTT